CCTCCTCCCCTCCACAAGGCTCTGCCGCCCCCCTTTTCCGTGCTCACCCCTGGATTTTTTTGGGGGTTCACAGGTGGCCCTGACCAGCGATGCCTGGAGGAGAGGGTACCTGCGACATCTGTGTTGGGCTCTTTGCGTCCGCTCTGGCTCGTTCTCGTCTGGGTTTTAGGGGATCTTGGTTCTGGGTTGGTTTGCAGTGGGGTGCAGATCGCATCTCGTATGGCGAGTTGCAGCTGGTATTGCAGCTCCAGGCGAGGAGCAGCAGAGCCTGGAAAGCCCTCGGTGTGGATGCTGAACGCGGCTGCTGTCCAGGATTTTCCAGAGGGCCGACTTGGGAGCGTTGTCCGAACCTGGGTTGAAAGCACCTGCTTGGCCTCTGCCCCTGCGCGGGTGCTGTCGGGTTGTGCACACCTGATTCTTCTCCTGCGGCGCTTCTGGTCCAGAGCTGGCGAGACAAGAGGCCTGCAGGGCAGCATGGAACGCCCTCGGTGTCCTGCCTTAACTGCTTTCCCACCCCAAAAGGCACCGGCGACCAAAGGGGTGCCCAAAACAGCACTACCCTCCGTATTCCACCCCATTCCCCTGGGCTGGGGGGAAGCGGTGCGGAGCTGAGCCAGATCAGTGCAGTTGAAGCAGGGGTTTGTTTTGCTCTTGGCCCCAGGATTGGCCTGGAGAGTGGATTCAGTCGCTTGCGGGCCGTTCCACTGATCTCTGTGGCCTGGAGGGATCCATTTGCAGGAGACACGGGGCTGCAGCTCCCTGTCCTGCTTGGCTTGCTGCTCTGTTCCCCGCCAGCTGCATCAGTGGGACGGAGGCTTGTGGCAGCTCACACGCCACCTTCTTCTCTCCAGGAGTCTTATCCAGCTGTTCCCCCGATATGGTCTGTGGAGTCAGACGATCCGAACCTGGCAGCTATCCTGGAGAGGCTGGTGGAAGTCAGGAAAGGAAATACACTGGTGAGGGGGTGCTGCCTGGGGAGAGAGGAGGGGTGGCGAGAGGCTGGCTGCTTCTGCAGGGTAAAATCCCTCTTGCGTGTCTCTGATTGTCTGAGGCAGGAGGTGCGTCTGGTCTCAGGGGTTCAGGGAATTTGGGATGAGCAGCTCCAACTTCTGTTGAGTTTGGTGCTGGAGTGTGATTTTCCCCCTGTGTCCACCACTGCTTGGAGTGGGAAGGAGCGGTGTCCGGGCCTTCGCTCGCTTGTTTGCGAGGAAAGCATTGCAGTGCTGAGGATGGCTGAGGCTTAGCTTGGCGTGTGAGTCTGTGCGCTTCTCTGACGCTTGTTTGGTCTCTGGACAGCTTTTGCAGCACCTGAAGCGAATAATCTCTGACCTGTGCAAACTCTACAACCTCCCCCAACATCCAGATGTTGAAATGCTGGACCAGCCTCTGCCAGCAGAACAGGTGAGTGACTCGGGATGAGACTTTGTAAGCTCATAAAATGAGTTCCTTGGAGTTAGCTTTAGAGGCTGAGGCTTCCTAACCCCCAGAGGAGGAACGCAGCAGGTGAGGTGTTGATCTTCTCTCGCTGGGGTGAATTCCTGTCCCGGGTGATGCCAGCCTGATCTGTTGGGCCTCAGTGCTGTTTAGCTGCTCTGGTGTAGTTTCCTGTAAAGGTTCTTGGCTTCGCTCTGGTTTTAACTTGGTTCTGCTTGTAAATCCCTGTTTAACCTTGCCTCAGAAGTGTCTGGGAAGGCAGGAGAGCGTTGCTGCAGGAAGGTGTGATCTTCGTTTCTGTCCTTTTATCCCCGCAGAGCACGCACGAAGAGGTGTCCTCTGAAGAAGAAGATGAAGAGATGCCAGAGGTAAGTGTTGCCTCGCTGTATAAGGAAGTACACCGGAGAACTGAGCACAGGGAGATGCCCGCTGAAAGGTGCGAGGGCGCAGGGATCGTGGCTGGGAGGAGCTTGTGGAGTCCAGACAGGGAGGAGCCCGCTGTTTGGCTCAAAGGCTGGGTTGTTCTCAGCGTTTTGCTGCTGGGGAGCCAGGTCCTGAGCCACGGATGGGAGTGATGTGTTCACAAACCACAGGGGACCGCAGCAGCCGAGAGGTGTAGCTGCGGCCTCCAAAGGCATGCAGACGAGCTGAGAGTGGAGCCCCTTGGACAATTTCTCTCTCAGCTCGTGCTGCTGTTGCTGTAGAGCCTGAAATTTACTCATGAGCGATGGGATTTCCGGGTTGCCATTGCTGGCGGGGAAATCGCACCGTGCAAATGGGACTCCCGCAGAGAGGATTAGGTAGGATGGCTGAGTGTGCGAGCGAGCTAATTGGCAGGAGCGGCAGAGGCAGCCATACTTCACTGCAGGATGAGAATATCATGCTGCAAAACCCACAGGCTTCAGTTGTTTGGTTTGCGGTTTAGAGATCTTTAGAAGTGGGTGGAATAATCTTGAATCTCCATGGTGATGTTTAGCGATGCCTCGCACACTTCTGGGGTGCGAGAGGCACGGGCACCGAGTCAGCAGCACCACAGAACCTGGGGGCAGGTCACTTAGCAGCAGCACACCTAGCACTTGTTTGGGTTTTAGCAAAGTTAATAGCTTGCTAAATCAAGGCTGGCCTTTGCCAGGGTCCCTGGAGAAAATGAGGAGGCTTAAACTGGTACCAGCATAACCTCGCATATCTGCAAACTTGCTGCTTTGTGGCAAATTTGTGATGTGCGAGTCCTCACGCTCCTGTGGGCTGGAAAAGAAATCTTTGGGAACTGCGCATTCCCCCTCGGGCTTTCTGCTAACGCTGTGTGTTGTCGTGCAGGGACAACGCGCTCGCTTAGAGCAAAGGTTTCTTGCTGAGCGGTTGGATTTGTTGGGCTGTGTTGGAAGAGCAGAGCCGTGCCCTGCTGCAGAGATGCATTATGCAGGTTAATCCACTCGAGGGATTTTCTAGGAGGATCTATTTTCCTGTGTGACAGTCTAAAAACGTCAAAGCGCCTTCCAAAAATGCTGCTCATCCAGAATAGCAGCAGCTAGCCTGGAGAGGCCGAAGTAAACACTTGTTCGGAGAATGCAATACCAGCACTGGAGCTGTGTGTACCCACAGCCATTTGCAGGCAGCTTCCAGGGAGCTGAACCCTGTGTGCTGACACAGTGCAGCAGCCACTGTGCGCAGGGAGAGATCTCTGGTGGCCCCGATTGCTGCCGCTGGTTTTTACTGGTTATTAACGTCAGGATCTTGCACACGTCAGCCTGATGAGCATTGCTGTGGAAAGGGATGAGGGGCAGAGCCTCTGCCGGGGTTAGGGAGGGCACTGGGGGCGTGCTGTGCGGCGGAGAGCTGAGCTGATCTACAAAGAGCCTCCAGACACGCTGTGAAACATCACCTCTTTGAGGGGAAAACATCCTGCACTACCGAATTTTGTGTGTGAGGGTCTCTTCTTGTGCGCTGCTGGCAACCTGTGTTCGTTTTGGGTTTTTGCTCATGAAGGGGGAGCAACACGGCCCAGCAGCACTGTGCCGAGTGCCTGCACTTTGTTCCAGCCATCCAGAAACGCGGCACGGGGCTGCTTGAGCCACGTGCCTGCTGAGATGCAAGTGCCCTTCAGTTACATGGGGCTCGCGGGGGAGCATGCGTAAGATTAATGGGTAATTATAAACAGGCGCAAGACTTGGCAGGGAAGAATCCAGCGAACAAAGAGCTTCTATGAGCCCAGTTTAATTCTGGAAAGGGAACTGTGCCACTCTGCCTGCTGGCTTTGGTACGGGAGGGCGGTGGGGGCCTAGTGCCTGAAACCTCTTCACTGAGCATGCCCAGGCCTTGTGCCTTCCACTCGGTTTGTGCCTCAGATCAGGGCTTGGGACTTCTGGGGAGGGAGAGATGCACTGGGAATCCTTCCTGGTTCAGGGCCAGGCAGCTTCTGTCTGCAGTGCTCGGAGCAGGGAGGAGCGAAGGCGTGTCTCCTACTAGCTCTCCTCTCCCCTTCCCAGGACACTGAGGACTTGGACCACTATGAGATGAAAGAGGAAGAGCCAGCAGACGGGAAGAAGACGGAGGATGAAGGAATTGGGAAGGAAAACCTGGCCATTTTAGAGAAAATAAAAAAGAACCAGAGGCAAGATTACTTAAATGTACGTGTCACCTGGCGGGCGGGTGGGTTGGGGAAGCAGAGGGGCCCAAGGGTGAGAGCAATGGAGGCACCTGCCAGCCCTGAATCAGAGGGGCCATCTCTGGCCAAAGGTACAGCAGTGGCCCTCGGGGGGCTGGCGTGGCTGATGCAGAGAAGCCTGTGAACTGCCTCTGCAGCTCAGGGAAGTCAGTGTGGGCCTCAAGTGCCCTCGAGGCATCAGTGCTACGTGGGGCAGCCTTCCCGCAGTGAGATCTGGGGTTCCCCTCTGCTCCCAGGAGCTGCACCTCACTTTGGGCCGTGGAGGTGGCTGGTGGGTTGTGCTTTTGTACTCCAGGGCTGAGATTCATACGCAGCTGAGAGGGCATGGAGGCGTTTTTGCTGCAGCTGCGCTGCCCAGGGTGGCCTGTTTGGGGCAAGGAAGGTTGCTGTAGGGGGAAAGGTGAAGACTGAGAGGTGGGGGACATGGTAAGGTCTCATTTAGAGGCCGAACGGGATTTCTAGCTCAGGCATTGGCCTCGTAGAGCAACGGCTGTGGTTGGTGCAGTGTAACAATGCAAATTCCCTCTTCCCAAATTCCTCGTAGGGTGCAGTGTCTGGGTCTGTGCAGGCCACTGACCGGCTAATGAAGGAGCTCAGGGATATTTACCGATCACCAAGTTTCAAGGGCGGTAAGTACTGCGGGGAGCTCGAGGGCTGCTGCTCCACTGTTTGTGCCGGGGTTTTCCTCCTTGTTCCAGGTGGCACCTAATGGGCCTTAGAGCTGTTCTGCTCTGCTCAGCTGGGGAGAGGACCTTCAGTGGCTGTGGCTCTGTCAAGAGCGAGCAAAAGTGCCTTACCATCCCTGCCAGTGCTGGATGGAAGTGAGGAGCGTGCTGTGGGTGGATTATCTGGCTTTGAGGGTGATGGTGCTCCTCCCCCTCTGCTGAGCCCACGGACTCGGGGAAAAAGCAGTCGTAGGAAAACTGCTGCCCTCGGGACAGTCCTTCGGGATAAGTGCTGCTTTTTGGGGAGGGTCTGTGCCAGGCTGAGGATGTGCTGCAGGGTCGAGGGAATTTGAAATCTGGGTGGTGGCTCAACCCCCTCTTCAGTCTCCCCCCGTAGTGACACACCTCTTCTCTGCCTTGCAGGATACTATGCAGTTGAACTAGTGAATGACAGCCTGTACGATTGGAACGTCAAACTCCTGAAGTAGGTGGCATAGCTTGGGATCATGCAACTGTGGTGGATCTTGGTGGTGGGACCAAAATGTCCCCATGAGCCAGAGGGGAAGTGAGCAGGGCAGGGGAGCACCTGGCAGACCTTGAGTTAGCCTCTTGGGCAGCTTGCTTGCTGTCTCTGCATCAGAAAGGAGATGACATCTCCAGAGAAAGATAATCTGAGGGCTCTGCAAGTCTGTCTGCTGTTCCTAGAGTCCTGGAAGAGGTGCATCAGACAAAACCCCGAGCTTTCACACCCTCCAGACACCAGTGCTGCCTTTTCCTTGGGCCAGGCAGTCTTTATTTTTAAGCTGGCAGCATGCAAAAGGGGTGTGATGGTCTTCTCTGCAAACCGGGAGCAGAATGCTGACAGCCCGTGCTGTCGCTGCCCTCTGGGTGAGAACCCGAGGGCCCACGAGGCAGCCAGGTTGTGCAGGTACAGTAGCTCTGGGGTTCGGTGGCAGTGAGCATGGCTGACTTGAGGTGCACGACCTTGACTCTGACCCTCTGGGGTTTTCCTTTGGCAGGGTTGACGAGGATAGCGCTTTGCACAATGACCTCCAGATCCTCAAAGAGAAAGAAGGAACTGATTTCATCCTCCTAAACTTCTCCTTTAAAGTAAGGCTTTCCTGTACCTCCCCCTCCTTGACACACACCCGCCTCAGCGAGTCATCAGAGATGATGTTTCTCAGCGGCTTTGCTTCCCTTCTCTTCTTCCAGGATAACTTTCCTTTTGATCCACCATTTGTAAGGGTTGTGTCCCCGGTGCTGTCAGGGGGGTAAGTACCTATTTGCCTGTCTCTGCTCACTGAGCTCTCCAGCACTGCTTCAGTTTTCACTAAGAGTTTATCCAGCGCTGTGCAGTCCTGTAATCCCCCTGATACGAGTTTGCAGTAGCTTTCCCAAGAAACGTAGATGGGGGTGGTGGATTTTTTTTTTTCTGGTGTATCTCTCCATCTGAGATCTACTCTGAGAAAATGGTTCATCTTTGGAGCAGCGGTGGGTGTGGCTCTGTCCATCTCTGACATAATTTTGCCTGATTCCTTCCCCAAGGTATGTTCTGGGTGGCGGTGCCATCTGCATGGAGCTACTTACAAAACAGGTGGGTGCTGGCTGTTACGTGGACTCGGGTAGCTGCTGCTTTGTATCCCTGCTGCTCAGGGCCTGCTGGCAGCCAAATCCTGCCTGTACCCCTGGCCGGCAGTTGCCTGGCATGGCTTTGCAACGCCTGTGCCGGGCTGGGGAAGGCCCTTTGTTGCTGTGGGGAAGCGCAGCCCCTGGGTGGGGGTCCTGTCTGCACTGGCCTCACCGTCTTGTGCTCTGTCCCTCAGGGCTGGAGCAGTGCGTACTCCATTGAGTCAGTGATTATGCAGATCAGCGCAACTCTGGTGAAAGGGAAAGCGCGAGTACAGTTTGGAGCCAACAAGGTAGGGGCACGGTCAGCATAAGGGAACTTGAGGAGCAGTTGGGAGCGGGACGGAGGCAAATGAGCGGACAGCCGGCTCTGCGGCAGTGCAGCTCGCTTAGGGAAGGCGTGTGGGGTGGCTCGCACCGGCTTCTGGCTGGACTGACGGCCACCCTGGCTTCCCTTGCAGAATCAGTACAGCCTGACGAGAGCACAGCAGTCCTACAAGTCCCTGGTTCAGATCCATGAGAAGAACGGTAAGGGCTGAGGGAGAGGCCCTGCATTTCTCCTTGCTAGTCTGGGCATCCAGACAAGCTGCTTGAGATTTTTCTGCCCCAAGTGTGGAGATTACCTGGAGTGAGATGGCAGCCGGTGACGGCAGCCACTATCTAACACGGAGCGCGCGGCTGTGGCATCCCTCTGCCCTTCCCCACCGGTCAGTGCTGCGCTCCTTCGGCTGTAACTAGAGACAGCACGCCATTGTCCGGGTGGTGTTGGGAAGTAACCTGGAGAGAAAGCCTCCCAGTAATCTGGGAGACATGGCCCTTTGGAAGTGGGACTTGGCATGCTTGCGCTGCTGCTTTCAGCAGCTTTTCCAGCTGCGTGTTTCCACGTGTAGGTTCGTGCAGCTTTGTCCCTCATGGATCTCTCTTCTTCTTTCAGGCTGGTACACACCACCCAAGGAGGATGGTTAGCACAGACGGATGCTGCAGGACCAGTCTGATTATCTTCTGGATGCTCTACTTGGATCTTTGATGCCTCTTGGCTTTCCTCCAGGATGTAATAGCTCTGCCTGTTGCAGGACAGTAATGGCTGTTAAAAACTCTAAATAAAACTGTTTAAGCAGTTGGACTGACGTAAAACACTTGCTGGACCCTTGCTAGCAGGCATTCTTGTTAAAACAAACTTTTGAGCCTCTTGTATCGCTGGAAACTTTCAACTCTACTCCAGTCTAGAGCGTCCTCCTTACCTATGCTATGGATTTAATTTATTTTCTTATTTCATGTACACTGCTTTTTTTTGTTACAGTGTATGATGGATGTGTATGGAAAATGTATCTTTCAAGAAAAATTACAGTTTGTTAATTTGAAGATGCTGGTCTGAATTTTTTTTTTTTTTTTCCCCCCTAAGCTGCTGCTGGGTGGATTGTACCCACACTGGCAGTGGCTGGGAGCAAACCCCTTCGTAGCAGCTCTGCCATGCTGCATCTTCAGCCCTGGTCCTGTGGTGGGGCGGTGGATGGAAAAGAAAATCTTTTTTTTTTTTTTTTTTTTTTTTTTTTTTTTTTGGGAGCAGGGCTTCCATCTTGTCCCCTAGACCAAGAACAGACTTTTCTCTTTATAAACTGCAAACTACACCTCTGGAAGCAGAGAGGGGAAGATCTGTAAGGCTTTCCCCAGCCCTGCTGTGGATGAGGGGTTTGTAGGTGCACCCCAGGGCTGCCAGCTCTCACCCCAAACTCCTCCATGTCCTGTCTTGCCAAGCAGCAAGAGATGAGCAGAGGCTCGGCTGTGCCAAAACAGGAGGCGTACCCCCGTGCACCGACCTGCCAGCCATGTGTGTAGAGGGAAGGTGGCTGAGCCCCTCATGCCTGTAATTCCTGCGCTGTGATGAAAGCTGCTGAATGAAGGGGAGTATGGGCAGCGCTGGGTGTTATCGCTGCCCTCATCCCTGCAGCAAGTGGCCTGGTGCTGTAGGGTTTTATTTTATTTTTCCTCCTCAAGCAATCGTTCCTGCTCAGCTCAGTGCTGCAGGCGTTGGTGGAAGGCATTGCTGCAGTCATGCCCTGTTGCTTCCCTCCCTGTTCCTTGCTCGAATCCCCCCCTGCTCTGGCCTGAGGCTGCTGGAAGATTTGGGTGTTGGAGCTCCTCTAACTTCTGACACTGTGTCCTCAGCTGGAGGACATGGCTGATTCATTAGTGTCAAAGCTGGACCATCAGTATTAATTCACTGTGTTTGAATAAAAGTTCTTAGAAAATCAAAGGGCCTCAGAAGAAGTCCATTATCTCCTCCAGCAGCTGTTCCCCTGCTCCAGCCTTGGAATAAAAAGATGCTGTAAGAGAGGGATTACTGATGGACGCTCTGTGCTTGCTGCTCCGACCTCGGCCGGGGACTATTTTTAAGTTGCTTTGCTGAAGGATGGGAGGGTTTGTGACACTGAGCAGCTCGGCCATGCTCTCTGCTCCGCTCCTCCGCCTCGGACTGGCACCCAACGGGCTCCTGGTGCTGGGGGGGCGGAGGCAGCCGCGCTCCGCTTCCCTCTTCAGCTCAATTTGCACCAAGGAACCCGCTGGGGAGAGGGGTTGGGTTAATGAACTTTTAAAAATCTCGTGGTGTTGAGATTTGGTGAGGTGGGGGCTGTGCCCGCCGCCCCCAGTGATGGGGTTGGGTTTGGTTATGCTGAGTTGGTTGGAAGAGCTCACGGCACGTGCATTCCCAAATCCCGGTGGCTTTCCAGGCCGGGATAGGTGGGAGAGTTGAACAGAGCCCTGCAGGGACCCTCTGCCGCTTGGATGCCAACCCGGCAGGCGTTGAGGCTGCAAGCACAGCCAGAACAGCGCGAGCTGGCATCTGGCAGGCGTCTGCCTGTCCCGTCTGTTCTCACCCGCCTGAGCGTTGGGATCCGTCCTGCTCCGAGACAGGCTCAGCGCTTGTCACCGCCGTGCTGGCTCGGCTCTTGTTTTGGCTGCTTTGGGAAGCAGGCGCGCGGTGCCATCTGTCACCACTGCCAGAGATGCTCCCACAGCCTTCCCTTGCAGGACCTGGCAGGGGATGGGGAGAGACTTCCCAAAGGAGATGTGTGGATTGGCGCGCCGCGGGGAACGCCACCGTGGTACAAAGCCATCGAGACGGCGCTGCCTGCGTGTCAGTCCTGCTGTTGAGGCCCCCTGGGAAGATTCACAGGGGTTTTAAATCTGCAAAGGAAAGAAAATGAACCAGCACCTTTCACATTAAGCTAGCACCCGAGTTTCCCAGTGGAGGCATGGCGTTTTCCTTGGCCTCAAGAAGACAAAGCCGAAGCCCGCCAA